TATATGCATCCCGGTCGCATCTTTTCACTCAAGGCCAGTGCACATCTAAGCGCTAGTGAAAACATGCTGAAAGCTGCAGCGTCCAACCAAGTCGTCTTCTGCCACCACCCAACCTTGCCCAGTGTTGCACGGAGCCCTCTGGTGTAGCCGCTTTCAAAACAACCATTGCAGTTCAACAGTGGCGTTGAAATGCCATTGCAAGCTGTGAAAGTTCGCTGTTGTTGAAGGCAACTGCAACAACCTTTGTCAACTGGTTTGGGTAGGGTTCTGCCAACTTGGTGTACCATACACCTTGTTCATTCTGTCCCATGAGAGGAAGGTGTGGCTTGTGGCTGTATTGGCATATGCCTCGTCGACTGCTGTGGCATTTGTAGTGTGACAGCACCGAGAGGTCCAAAAAGGTACCCAGGAATGAGGTGGGTTTTTTCCACCTTGTCCCAAAAGCACAGTAATGAACTGTCTCAGAACTCACATTGCGCCGTTTCAGCAGCCATCGCACCGAGGGACACAACCAGATTCTCGATCGTGAAGGGTTCTCCATGGTGAACGGCAGTTGCCAATGTAATGCTAACCGAAGCACTGCACAACTAAAAAAACATCAGACAGTTCCCCACACGGATCTTTTCGGAGTCGACAGGCCGCAAGTTGGGTAACCCAAGAGGCAGTTCATCGCTCCTCAACCGCGGGGGTCCTCCAGGTCGGTCTCTGGCTCTGCTAAAGCTGTTGCACGGGGTACCGAGGTGTCCACCCCGGATCAAGCCAGCTTGCAACCAACCTAATATCAACTGTTGATGTTTTCGCTTGGTCAAGTCATAATCAGGGCCAAAAGCAATGTCCCAAAGCAGAACCGGCCAAGCTGTAACATGTGCAACGCTTCTACCTAATCGACCACACCCACAAAAAATCTCGATGAAAACTGCAACTTTCAACGATGCCTTGGGGCTCAATGCTTTTTCAACAGCCGCCTGACGACGTCTTTGGCGGCCTGAAGCGCCTCTTTTTGAGTGAAAAAGAGGCGCTTGCTGAGGCTTCCAAACAGCTGTTGCAGGCGCCCCCCTTTCTCGTAATTCTTCATGGACTTCTGTGTCAACCAGCGACCCCGAGTTTGAATGCCTGAGATCTCTCTCAACTGGTTTGCTGCCTCGAACGATGCTCCGCCGTGGCGGAGACGGTACATGTGCGGAGCTCCCAAAGGTTGCAACCCCAGAGGTTTCCACTGGTCCTCTAGGAACTGGTTTGTCTCTTGAAGAGTGGTCTGGAACAAAGGCTCGTCCTTGCTCCTGTGTTGTACCTGCATCCAACGCTCCAATGCGGGACCCAAAAAACTTCAGGTGGGGCAGATCGAGTGTCAACATCTCGTCCCACTGTTTTGTCTTGGATGGTACCCCCACCTCCAGCGGATGGAGCAGAATGGCATGGTCTTTGAAGGCCTTGCCGCTTCGTCTCAACGGCAAGACCAAATCTCGGACTCTGAGGGAGAAGGCCTCGCCAGGCCTCAAATACAAGAGAAATGTCATCATCAAAACCAATGCAATCTCGCGCTGACCCAAGTCCATCGCCTTGTTGGCCACCAGACAGATGGCCTCGTAGGGGATGGGCATCCGGCTTCGAGGTGGGCAGAGCTTCCGCCACCCCTTCATGGCCTGTTGGGCCCTCGGAAGGGCTGCCAGGCCTTTGGTTCCCGGCACATGGAAAATCACGGCAGCAGTCACATAGTTTGCTCGGCTCAGGTCTTCTCCCTCGAGGTAAAGCTCCTCGAGGTAATTGCTCAGGTGTCTGTCCAGTTGGGTCCATGTCATGGTCTGTCGCACTTGGCCTGCACTCCACTGGACAAAGCTCTGCCACATCTCTCTGTACCTCCTGAGGGTGAACTTCCCCACCGATGAACTGCGGAGCACCCCCCATACCTGGTTCTGGAGTCTTCTGCTGTCGTCTCCTGGCTCTTTGTCTCTTCTTTTCGGCTGCGGGCATGTTGCTGAGTTCTATGTCCCAGGTGAGGGGGGGCAAGATGGTGATTGGTCACCGCCGAAACCCCTAACCCTCCCTGGGCGGCCTCTCGCAGCTTGGCTCTCTTGGTGGGTCTCTGTTGCAGACTGGATGTCTTTCGTTTTCGTTCCGAGGGTCTGTTCCATGTCACCTGAATGCCCAGTTGTCTGTGAATCATCCCAAAATCTGTGAACCGGCTTGGAGGGAGCAAATTTACTCCGACTTGGCCCGTCAGCGGGATTCCATTCGCTAGGCACCCAACGACACCGAAAAAGTGTCCCTGATCCCAAACATAAAGCGGCCGTCTGCTGTACGACCCTCCGGAGCCTAAAACTCTGCGCACGGCCCTTGTCAAAAGAAACAGCAGCTGTCATGCTATCAGTGAGTACAATGAACTTCTTACCAAAATTCTTCTGACTCCTCAAGATGTGTCTGACAGCATACTGGGTGGCCCGGGCCTCGTACACGGGCATCGTCTCTTCTCTTTGCCAGCGCTTTCGGCCCACCACCTGCCAGGTGCGATCCACAGCGGTGAAAGGCACCCCCTTGAAACGGAGGGATGGATTTGAACCTTCATCTTGTGCATGGTGAACACCTTCAAGCTCCCCCTCAACTTGCACAAACGACCTGGGGTTGTTGCAGCCATCGTCTTTGAAACGCCACCTCTCCACATAGCGACCAAGCTGTTGTGAAAAACTGGGTTCAACTGTACTGCTAACTACCCCAAGTCCCCAATCGGAAGCATCGACGGCATAGATGGTGTCCCCCCAAACCAGCTTCATGTTGACCCGTATGAGAGGCGCTATACCATCCCACTGCCAAAGCTCTCTGCGAACACTTTTCCACAAGTTTGCGCTGTGGGTATAGTTGCGCTGGATGAAGGTGTAACAATCTCCCAAGACTGAGAGGGATTCACGCCGACAAAGTGATACGAATGTCATGTGCCCGATCAATCGCTCCAGCTGTTGGCCACTGGCACGGCCCCGTCGTAGCAACTCACGGATGCCCAAGCGACATCTCCAAAGCCGACTCAAGGACGGCGCCAGGTAGCCTCCGTCCTCAATTTCCCAACCAAGGACCTTGCTTGAGCCATCAGCCACTTCTATCTCATGTACTGTAAGTCCAGCCGCTCTTAGGGCCTCGACTGCTTTCCAGAACCTTGTCTCCACTTCCTCTTTGTCGTTTCCAAAAATGTGGAGGTTATCGACATACTGGACGTGGAAGAAGGTTCCCTGAGGTGGCGGCTGTCCATCACGCAGCCTCTCAGATGGAAGCAGTCCTGACCTTTCACAAATGCGTTCGCTTATCCTCTGGCACCACCACATAGCATGAGACCAACCCATGGGGATCACTGCAATGCGGGGGTAGATCCAAGAGGTGGGCTGTAGTCTCAAGCCAGCAACCTCTGCAACCCCTAGCTCTCCAGCTTGCACCTTGCGCAGGCCAAAAAACTTCTGAAGTGTGCTGGGCATGGCCATGGTGTAAAAAGCATTCTGAAGGTCTGCACTGGCTGTGAACAATTGTCCATGTGATTTCAACTCCATGCGACTCATGCTCTCCCCGGTGGCAAGTTTGATGTTCTCAGGTGTACTGAAATGGCAGTTGCTCCGCCTGCAATCCAAGATCATCCTAAGTTTGCCACCTTTCTTCTTCACAAAGAAAATACCCACCGTCTCAACCGCCGGCTCCAAACCAAGGGTGATGAGGCCTAGGTCCAACAGTCTGTGCAAGAAGCTGGCGTATTTTCTTCGGTCTCTGAATTGCGGGTCTTCATAACATTTGCTGAGGCCACATTGGTCTAGACGCTCGCGAGCTTCTGCTATGCACAGCGTCTGGTGAACGGTGAAATCCTCCACCTCTTGTTGCCCGCCCTCGCCCCACAAACACTCCAAAGGCGCGGGATTCATGCCCTCAGATGGCAATGAGACCAGGTCAGGATTGAAGGATCCAAGGGGGGCACGAAGTCGGCAAGTCATCGTACCCCTCAGCAACCCGAAGCTCCTCAAGGGCCTCTGGGCCGGAGAGCAAAGGTGGGGCCCCTACCCTCCTGCATGCATCTTCAACAAATTCCAAAGCATGAGCCTGGCCAGAACTGATTGGTCCACTATTCGAACCACCATACCTCTTGTGAGGTCCTCCAGGCCTTCCATACATAGTGTTGAGGGCATCCACTGTGTGATCCACCTCCTGCTCAAAATGCCTCCTCCGGCCAATCCTCTGCTGACTTTTCCGCGAGAAAAGACCCAAGGGTGGTCTTGAATTCAAAACTCTTGGCAGTGGAAAGATGTCTCTGTCCACCTCCCGAACTTGCACGGCCTCTGAAGGTATGGCAGCAGCTGCAAGGCCTGACTTCTGCTGCACCTGGTATTTCAAGGGTGTTCTGACTTGTCACCCCCCTTCTTTGCTCCCTTGCGAGCTGCTTCTCTTTCCTCGCGGGCCTTCCGCAAGTTCTTGGCCAGGTTGGCCTCCTTCTCGGTTTCGATCTTGACGTGATCCAACAACTGGGGGCAAATCATCAATATACTGTACTGTCGTGTAATGCCTCCAGAAGTGGTCTGCTCTTCTAAACTCAACCGCCCACCCACAGCCTTTGCCTCCAAATCCCTTGCCTTCTCGCTGTAAGAGTACTCGATGGTTTGGAGCCGCCTGAATTGTATTTCAATGCTCAACAGGTTGTAGGGGTCAAGCTGGTCGACAAGGAGGGCCTGGCGTAGGGCCATGCTGACCTGGAAGTGCTCCTGAATTCCCCAACTACTTGCATCAGCCTTTGTGACTTGTCGGAGTCTCTCATGGTGCCCCTCGAAGCCAAGGTTCTCGATGGCCAAATAGTTCACACACCATTTGCTGGTACGTGGACCGGCCAGCTCCCACCTCACTTTGCTTTCAGCGCCCATGGATGCGACCTCCTTCAAAGTCCTTTCCGGATGCCCAATAGGGTTCAACTCGACCGGCAGCACCCTGGGGTCACACCTTGCTGGCCTCTGCAAAAAATTGAAATAATCCTGACCATCAACACACTGAAGAAAGATGCTGACACCATCGGCTCCAATGTGGACAATCTTGCTGTCTTTCACCAGGGGATTGGGCACCCCCCTGAACCTCTTGGCCATATTGGTGGCTGGAGTTGGATTCAGCCGCCAGCCACTTCAGGGTTCCAGCCTCGTAGCCTTCAACCGGGTCGATCTTGGTGGATGCCGCGGCCCCCCGCAACAACCGGAGCCCCCGCGGCGGCGGCTGCCGCCAAAGGACCAGCACCACCAGCCATCGCACGACGTTCCTCCTCAGCAACTCTGCGACCTTCCTCCCGGAGGTTGTGCAAATCGTTCGCTGTCCAGGCAGGCAAGGCGTAGACCTCACCGGCGATGACATCAGGTGGTAACCCCCAACTCCTCAGCATAGACATCACGGTCTGGTGTCGCTATGATGTACACTTCACCCGCCACGTGGCTGAGCACAAGGCGTTCGTGCCAAAGACGGGGTCCAGGTACATCATACTCCAACAAAATGTGCCTATTGACCAAAGCCATGCCGACGAAGCCGTAGTTCCGCCAGCTGCCTCTGAGCCAAGTCACGCTTCTGTAAGGGCGAACTGCTACCCTCTGTCAATGCTTTTGAACACTGTCGGCCAAAGGTCAACCAACCCAATGCAATGAGCCCTGCAAGCAAGATCAACAGCAATGTAAACAACTGTCCCAAACTCAACTGGCCCCGATGATCAAATCCCACCAGAACCTTGGCTTCAGCCTCCGGCTTGCGCCGCGAAGACCAAGGCTGTCCACCTGAAGTGGGAGGATCCTCCTCGGGGTCTTGGGAGCGCTCAGGTGTGAAGTCCAATGCCCTGACCTGCAACCGCAACAACCCAATGTCCTCTTGCAACCGTTGGGTATAGTAAAGGTCAACTCCGACCAATCCCACCAAGGCTACCTGACAGATCACCGCGAGCCGGTAGCCCAGTGGGTAACCCATGAACGCCACGCGTGAGCGCCCCGGCTTTTGTCTTGAGCGGTGAAGGTGGCGGCCAACTCCATGTCAAAGAAAACC